TGTTTTATTCTCAAATACACAAATCACCAGATTCAAATACCACAAAGTATTAAAATGCTATATCCAGCATTATATCCTTTCATGTACTATCATTTTATTAATTAAAAGAAGGGTAGGGGGAGAAAAGCAGGTTCAGAAATGTTAATTCACCTTCCCAAGATCACGGTCCTTGAGGAAATATAGCCTTTGCTTGCTTGCTTATTTATTTATTTATTTATTTTTCCATCAATAAAGACAGGGCATGGCAAGTGGCACAGATGTTGGAAGATAGGCAAGAAGAGCTAGGATAGTTCCTGGAGGAAAGGGCCTTCTAGTAAAGGTCACCACTTAACAAGGTGATGAAGGGCTGCATTTGGCATCCAGGGCTCTGTTCCAGCTGTAAAGAGGTCAAATCCCAACAGAAGCAGAGGCTGTGACCTAAGGAACATTAGAGATCATCTAGTTCAACTGCCTTGGTTTCCAAATTCAGACCCAGAGACCCAGAGAGGTACTGGTTCACTCCAAGTGATATCACTAGTGAGTGGTTGACTCCACATCTAATGCTACTTCAGTTATACCAAGTGTTCCAAAGTTTGGCAAGAAGTAGCAGAACATTCTTGGGAGTGATGCTGGTGATGATACCAATTGTACGGATAATGACAGTGGAAACAAGATGGCGGTGGTGCTGATGGTAGCAGCTACTTCTTCTGAGCATAATTTAAACTCTAGACACTCAAATGCTTTACAACAATCCCCTTGATTATTCCTCTCCATAACTAAACAAACAAACAAAAAAGAAAGTTAGGTACAATCAACACCACCATTTCTGATTAAAGGAGAAGATCCCAGGGTCTCATAATGTGTAAATGACAAAGCGGATCTGAACCCAGGCAGTCTGATTTCTGGGCTGGAACTCTTCACCACAGGCTACATTGGAGACTCAAATGTGAGGAGAAGGGGACTGGGCCATGTGGGAGCTCATCCCCATCTTGGTCAGGTTCCTCTTACTCTCAAGTTTTTCCCTCTTACTGCAGATGCACAGCATGGGTGTGGCTTAGAATTGGACACCATTTGTTCCCATGTGGATTCTGCATGATTTCAAGTCAGGTGGAGAGAGCTTGAAGCCACAGTAAGCATGTGGTAGATTGACTCATGAGTTATTGGACTACACCTGCAGTAATTTCTCCTAAAGACAACTTGAGTTTTCCTGTACATAAGGAAAGAGTCCTTCTATAAACAGTACATCTTGGCCCCTCTCTGGTGTGGAAAACCCATTACGACAGCAAAAAGAAACAAGAGAGAAAGAAAGAAAGAGAGAAAGGAAGAAAGATATAGTGCTTGAGCCAAGGAATACTGAATAATCTGTTTCACATTAACCAAACTGAAAGCAATGCATGACCTCAGTTTCTCTGCTAATCAGATGCTACTGGTTAATGGATGGTAATCATATAGATTATAAAATGGCTAGAGCTAGGACCCTACTGTCTGCATAGAACAAGGAAATGGAGCTTGTTCTTTCGTGATGCCGAACTCTAGGGTAGAGTTCTGTAGAAGGAGTATGGAGCTCACATTTCAGCTCCATCATTCAACCATCTACCGTGTGCTTCACTGCTACTGGTATTAAGCACTCTGAAGATTAAAAAGTATGGTCAGGGGGGCGCCTGAGTGGCTCAGTGGGTTAAAGCCTCTGCCTTTGGCTCAGGTCATGATCCCAGGGTCCTGGGATCGAGCCCCACGTTGGGCTCTCTGCTTGGCAGGGAGCCTGCTTCCCTTCCTCTCTCTCTGCCTGCCTCTCTGCCTGCCTGTGATCTCTGTATGTCAAATAAATAAATAAATAAAATCTTAAAAAAAAAAAAGTATGGTCAGGGATTCGTGTCAAAATTAACCAAGTTATCAATATTTTAGGGTTCTGCTGAACATCCTCAGTAAACTAAAGCAACAATTCCCAGTACATGTAAATTTTACATGTGAGAGAACAAGCTGAAATGCTGTGTTATGTACATGCAGAGAACTCTATGCAATCGGTCTTCCAAGGATAAAATCACTTGATTTGCAAAGAAGCATAGATACGGTAGTATCTTGTTTTCAAAAGGAAACACACATTGCCCAGAGGACTTTCTATCTCAAAGCAACATCAATTTTGAAGGTTTTTAGAGAGAAACAAGCAAATCAATGTGATTTGTGAAAAGTTAGAATTTCTTGTGTGAAACATTGAAACTCCAAAAAAAAGATTAGAAAAAAAAAAAGAACATAGATACTCAGAGTGAAAAACAGGTTACACACATAGAACATCAAAACAGTTAAAATTATCAAAGCAAGGAAATAATCAAGAAGGCTTCCTTCATTTGATTCTAGATACAGCATTTTAAGAAGACATACCTGATAGATAGAAATCACAAAATGACAGCTCACAACTCAAAGCATTTGCAAAATGTTGGGTTTTTTGATTGTTTGCAGAGTTTTTTTTTTTCTTTCAAAAATCAAGTTACAAAATCAGATTTCATTTTTTTTTCAAAAACCAAATTTTTTTCTGCTAAAACAAAAACAAAAAACAAAATAAACAAACAAAAGAAACCTAGCAATGAGCTGGAGGTCAGGAATTGCTGTCCTGTTCACGTAAAGGTTTCTAATTTGCCACCTTACCTTACTTATGTACATTACCGGCCTGTCCCCTGTATACAAACCAGTTCATAACCTCTTACATACTGCCAAATGGATCCAAGCAGAGAAACAAGATCTCAGCAAGAAGGGAATGCCTGACTGGGCTTCATTAGAGAGGTTAATTTTTCATTCATTCATTCATTCATTCATTCATTCATTCATTCAATTTGACAAATACATGTTGAGTATCTGAAAAGCGCCAGATACAGGGCTCATGTAAGAATTTAAGTATTTGGACTTCTCATCAAGGGGACATGCAACCATGGACCTCAATGTATACCAAAATGTATGGGATAGAGAGAGCTGAGGACAAAACAGTGATGGATTTTAGGAAACTGAATGAGAAATTCTAAGAGTGCTAATAGTGGCAAGGGACCCAAAGGAAGGGGAATTTGAAGAAAAAAAGGGGTGGGGATGCCTGGGTGGCTCAGTCAGTTAAGAGCCTGCTTTTGGCTCAGATCATGATCTCAGGGTCTTGGGATCCAGCCCCACATCTGGCTCCCTGCTCAGTGGGGAACCTGCTTCTCCCTCTGCCCCTCCCCCCTGCTTGTGGGCACTCCTGCTCTCTCTCTCCCAAAAAAAACAAAGAAGGAAGGAAGGGACGAAGGAAGGGACAAAGGAAGGGGGGTGGGGTCAGCAGGGGTAAAACTGTGGCTGAGAAGGGAAATGCAAAGAAGACAGAAAAGGAAGAACATTCTCTGATGCAAGTAGTGAATTGCTGGTGACATTGAAGAAGGCACTTAGAGTGGGCTGATCAAGCCAGGCTGAGCAGCAGGAGTGTAAGAGCTCCAGTCAGAAGAAAGACAGACATTGCAGGGGAGAAGATGGGGTCAGGGGAAGGTGGGGGAGTGGGAAGGTCGGGGGAGGGGGTAGAGTGAGGAGCCCCCTGGAGCAGAGGACCGAATAAGTACAAGAGAGACTTTGGGCCCCCGACAGTTCAATAGCCACATGCCAGAGTGAATTCAATCCAGATGGAATCCCATGACACTGATACCAGAGGAAATCTGGCAACTTCTCCACGAACTATATATCCTCATGGTCCCTTCTTAGGACACATTCTAGAAAGGGGTTTTCACCCTAAAAGCTTTCTTTCATCGGCACCCAAATTCAGTGGCAGTAAGCTACAAAAGAAAATCTGTCCATTTTCAATTATGTTTTATCTTCTGGTGTTCCACTTGTGATCTCAATCAGAAATGAATGAAAATATTCGTTTCTTTGGCCCTGTTGGAAATGACATTTTTCACACAGGCAGTTAATCTTGGACCGATGGAACCAGGAGGCATTATTCTCTAGAATCCTCTATGTTTAATCGAGGGACAGAATGATTCAAATGCAAATGATAGGTCTGTGCACTTTATACTAAAAAGATAATGTTTATTGCCTTCTTTTGTGAATGTACAGCAAGCACGGTATTTTTTCCATTAGGAAAAAATCTAATGGTAAGGACATGCTCATCAGATATGGATCAAATGAACTAAGAAGGAAAAAAGAAAGTGAAAGGCTTTTAGCTCTGAATGTTCATAAGGTAATGTGGCATACGTAAGATGACTTATCAGGGTCTCTGTTTGGCTAAGAAAGAAAAAAAAAAAAACCCTGCTCTGTGATTGTGCCTTAAAAATCAAAACTCCCCAAATGATCTCTTCATAGTAATTTAAAACAAAATGCATAAAATGTAATTTTTAAGTGAAAGCATAATGGAAGCAAGAATGACATCCAAAGAGGTCCGTCATTGTTTGTCATGTGTTCTGCTATATGTGTGGCTCAAAGTCAACTGGCTTCCCCTTTCATAGTATGTGGGAAGAAATCCCAAGTGCTTGCTTCTTGAGCTCTTCCTTTACAAGTCAAATTCAGGGACCTTGTACAGTGCACATCCCTGGGTCCAGCCTTTGGACCGTTCACAGGGAAACTTCATGTGCCTAACCTCCACCCACAGAGACAACCACCACCCAGATGTGAAGCCCAGCAAGCATCCATCACCTTCTGCTCTGTGTAGTCAGTTCAGGGATTTCAGAATTCTCAACCAATCATCTTCCTAAGATTCAGAGCAAAATTGCGGCACAAAGTAAGCTTAGCAGAAACATTCCCCTTCTCTTTTAGTGTCTTTATAGAAATCGTAGATGAGCACAAAGCCAGGAAATTTCCCCATTAATATAAAAATGATATACAAGTTCATCAATTAATCCCAAAGCCTATATAAATGTATTACAAGTCCACTTGGATATAAATAAAAATGGTCATCAAGGGTCTGTGTCCGATATTAGGATCAACAGTAAATAGTCCATTTTGCTCAGAGCTCCGAATGTGAGATGGGAGTTTATGTGGCACTCAAACAGAAACTGTGTAACACATCATCTACTCACCCCTGCAAGGCTTTCTCTCCAAACCAGTCTCCTTTCCCTAAAGTTCGAAGAAAGACGGGGTCTTCACTGGGGGAGTCTTCCCGAGTGACGTTTACCTACAAAGAAAAACAAAGGTCTATGTCCACTGCACACAGTGACTGATCAAATCAACACTAACTGATGATGTTAATTCCATTTCTTCTTTTAAGCTCATGATGTCCTCATTAAGACCATGAGGACATTACCACTGAAAGTACCAAGAGGAATATCACAAATTTCCATGCAAACCACAAGAAATGTCCTCCAAATATTGTCATGCTGTTTCAAGTTGTTTTCAAGTAGTAATAAATTACTAAAAAATCTGAATTTCACTTAGTTCTCATTCTGACCTCCTATGAGGCAAGCATGATAAAGAATTAAGTGGGCATTCCTCCAATCTTTTTTAGTGTGTTTCTATGTTTGAATTTTTAAAAATAGATGAATAACCTAAGACAGTGTGTATCGTTCTGCAACTTACACTTTTTCTCGTGACATCATTTTATTGCTTATCCACGCTCTTACATAGAAATCTAGTTCCTCTACTTGAATGCGTCCATGCCGTCTTTCTTTCCATATGTTTATCCATCTAATTCCTTCAGGTGAATGTTTAAATTGTTTCCATTCTTATCTGCAGTAAGAATCTTTCTGTGCCCCTTGCATGCATGTCCCCATTCCTCTAAGACAACGCCTGTCTCTTTTTCCCAAGGATCCACACTCCATTCCAAAGGCTACTCCCATGTTCATGACGCCTTCTTATAGTCTCTAACCCACGACAGTCCTTAAGGTCTGCATGCTTCATTCAGAAGGATTTCATTTTTTAAAGATCTATGAATTACATGTATATCTTTTTCCTTTTTTATCGTAAGAGTGTGCTTTTCAAAAATATGGGTTTATCTTTGATATTGTCTATGATTTATAAGCACCTAATAAAAGAGCTGTGAGTTATTGGAACAGAAAAGCTTCATTACCTAAATAAGATATCTGGGCCCATACAGGACTTTTGACCTGGTTGACAGTCCACGGAAGGAGAGTAATAATCTTTCTGTTGCATGAATGAAGACATAAATGTACCTTTATGTCAATTTACTCCTACTTCAAGTTCTACTAATATTCATAATACTGGCTATGTTTCTCCTAGAATGGTTAAATAGTTAAAACTCACCTGCCTGGAAAATGTAATGAAGCAGAAAAAATTAATTTCTTAAGACAATGCTAGACACTTAAGCACACTTAAAAATATTATGCTGCAGGTTTCTGAGTTTAGAGAATGGATGACAAAGACCAGGATTTTTATAAGTACTAAGAATGTACATGCAAGGTGGAGGGTATTAAATTACTATTCTCCACTGATCCATTCGATTACTTTTCCACACTGTGTTTCAAAACCATGGGGATGCAGGTTTTAACCCTCTTACACCAAGCTATATCACAGAGATGGTTATTTGCATGCCAATGAGGCTTTTATAAATGTGGGAAGAAATACACTAGCTCATTGATTCTCAAACTTCAGGGTAAGGGGTCTTATTCAAAATAAAGGCCACTGAACTTCTCACTAGATACACTTCGTGAGGCAAGGAAAACAAAAGCAAAAATGAACTATTGGGACTTCGTCAAGATAAAGAGTTTCTGCACAATGAAGGAAACAATCAACAAAACCAAAAGGCAACCTATGGAATGGGAGAACATGTTTGCAAAGGACATATCTGATAAAGGGTTAGTATCTGAAATCTACAAAGAATGCATCAAACTCAACATCCAAAAAATGAATAATTTAGTTAAGAAACGAGCAGAGAACATAAATAGACATTTTTCCAAAGAAGACATCCAGATGGCCAACAGACGCAAGAAAAGATGCTCAACATCACTCATCATCAGGGAAATGCAAATCAAAACTACAGTGAGTTATCACCTCACACTGGTCAGAATGGCTAAAATTAACAAGTCAGGAAATGACAGATGTTGGAGAGGATGCAGAGAAAGGGGAACCCTCCTGCACTGTTGGTGGGAATGCAAACTGGCACAGTCACTCTGGAAAACAGTATGGCATTTCCTCAAAAAGTTAAAAATAGAGCTACTACAGAATACAATCCAGCAATTGCAGTACTAGATATTTACCCCAAGTACATAAAAATACTAATTCAGAGGAGTACAATGCACCCCAGTATTTATAGCAGCATTAGCAACAATAGCCAAATTATGGAAAGAGCCCAAATGCCCACTGGTTAGCAAAGTGATACAGAAGATGTGGTATAAATATACAACATTATATTGTCAACCAGCAAAGCAAATGGAATCTTGCCAGTTGCAATGATGTACATGGAGCTAGAGTGTATTATGCTAAGTGAAATCAGTCAGAGAAAGACAAATACCAAAAGATTGCACCTATAGGTGGAATTTAAGAAACAAAACAGATGAACAAAGTGGAGGAAAAAGACACAAACCGTCAAAAAGGCTCTTAATGATAGAGAACAAACTGAGGGTTGCTGGAGGGCTAGTGGGTAGGTGATGGGTTAAATGAGTGATTGCTATTAACAAGGCCATTTATTGGAATGAGCACTTAAGTGATTCATTACTAAATCCTACCAATGAGATGAATATTACACTGCACATGAACCAACTGGAATTTAAATAAAAACTTCGAAGAGGGGTGCCTGAGTGGCTCACTGGGTTAAAGCCTCTGCCTTCGGCTCAGGTCATGATCCCAGGGTCCTGGGACTGAGCCCCACATCGGGCTCTCTGCTCAGCAGGGAGCCTGCTTCTCTTTCTCTCTCTCTCTGCCTACTTATGATCTCTGTCTGTCAAATAAATAAATAAAATCTTAAAAAAAAAAAAGAAAAAACTTGGGAGAAAGAAATAAATAAAGGCTACCAGACTCCTATTTTTGAAGTTCTAATTTAGTGGGACTGGGAAATCTGTATTTGAAAAGATTAATATAGGTAATTTAGATGCAAATGTTTTGAAGACCAAACTTCAGCACACATCAATGCACTGTTTTATTTCTGGGCCTCGGTTTTCTCATTTGTACTAAAGATTATTTGGCAGTCCTCACTACCAAAGCCAAAACAAAACAAAACAAAACAAAACAACAAGAACAAAAAACCAAAACCAAAACAGTCATTAACTAAGGTGTAATATACTATAAGATAATTAATTCAAAATCAGACATAAGGATATGTTACATAATTGTACCTTTTCCATCTGGTTAACAACAACAAAAATGATTAAGAAATTCCAAATGGCAGACTTACGCAAGACATGGGGAGATTTCAGTGGCTTTGGAAATATTCTTCACAAAAATGTTACTGAAATGCAATAACAGAGCTATAAAAAGTTGGACACCTACAGAATAGACTACTTTCTGCTTATATGACAAGTATGAAGGAAAACCTATCTGGATAATCCATATATGTGAAAAGATAAGCAGTTAAAAGAGCAAGAATAAAAGCTTTCCTTTTAGGTTGTAACGGCCACACTGTCACTTTGTATTTATAATGAATCATTGTAAATATGCACAGACACCTGGCATGGACACTTGCATCTTTAATTCTTTTTTTTTTTTAAAGATTTTATTTATTTATTTGACAGAGATCACAAGTAGGCAGAGAGGCAGGCAGAGAGAGGGGGAAGCAGGCTCCCCGCTGAGCAGAGAGCCCGACGTGGGGCTCGATCCCAGGACCCTGGGATCATGACCTGAGACGAAGGCAGAGGCTTTAACCCGCTGAGCCACCCAGGCACCTCTGCATCTTTAATTCTTAAAAAAAAAAAAAAAAAAAGTCAGTGTAGAGAAAGTTACATACACAGAGATAGCCTCTCTGACCTTGGCCTAGATTACTTATTCTTTTCCCTGAAATCTCAAAGTACTTTATAATCTACAATGCTATGGGAAAGAACTAGCCACAGAGCCTTAAAGATAATACTCCATCTGTTTGAACCTCTGTTAGCTCCTCACCTTGTCCAAAACCTGGAAGGCTGATCTCAAAAGAGGGTGTGTGTATTTGAATGAATTAAATGAGAAAATCTATGAAAAGCATCCTTCTAAAAGTACATGCTCGGGGTACCTGGGTGGCTCAGTCGGTTGAGCGTCTAACTCTTGACCTTGGTTCAGATCATGATCTCAGGGTCCTGAGATCAAGCCCTGAGTCAGGCTCCCCACCCAGCAAGGAACCTGCCTGGGATTTTCTCTCTCCCTCTTCCTTTGCCCCTCCCCCTACTTGTGCACTCATGAACACTAGCTCTCTCAAATAAGGAAATCTTGACAAAAAATAGTAAGTGCTCAAAAAAGTTGGTTACTTCTCCTATACTTCTCCCCTTTTCTACTTCACTCACCTACTTTGAAAATTCATGCATTTTACTGTAAAAGAAATATCCCCATCACTACTACTGCTCTCTCATTGTTGCTATAAAATGCTATTTAGAGCATAAGCTTCTTTACTTCTAGACAGATAAAAGAGAGTGTATATTCTAATGTTCTTTTTACTTATCTATATGCTAACTTTCTTTCTATAAGACATATATGTAGTCTCATAATTTGAGTTTTTTTTCGTAATTTGAGTTTTTAAAACTTTTTAGCCATATGCATAATTTTAAAAATTAACAACCAAAATAAAAATTAGATATTTTTAAAAAGATGTAAAAAATTGATCTTTTACCAAAGTCTTCAATAAGTAATATCAGGGTGCATGTTTAATCAAAAACAATTCAAAAAGAAAAGAAAATGATTTAGTACACATTCAGCAGGTTTTATAAACAAAGCAATGTTTATTGTGGGAGGGGTGGAAGCCTGGAATTTACAGATTTATGGGGAAAACCCACCTGGAGAGTGAGGGTTAGTGAGGTAATCATTTTCCTACCTCTGTGACTAATAGATTACAAAAGCCAAGGCATTCCCGAAACAGTTCCCCTTATAATGTTCTGCGTGTATGACTCAAAAATTGGCTGTGTTATTCTCACATCAAAAATGCCTCCTGATGCAGAACGAGGACACTTTAGGAACTATATCTGGTAGTTTGGGACATGTACTGGGTAAGAATGTCTCTTTCTGAACTTGAAGCTTGCCTGTATTCTTTGAGTCATGAGCTAAATTCAGTGTGGGCAGGATTTATGATTCCTAAGAGTCTGATCTGACCATCGAACCCTCTGTGTAACACAGGAGTAAATCAGTCTCTTTCCACCATGTGTTCTAACCCACTCTCCCAAAATGTCTGTCATGAATCCTATGTTCATGATCCCCTTTCTAATGTTTGCAATTTAATGCATGTTCTTACATGCACTCACATCTCATTCCATGCATAAATACCATGTATTTGCCTGGTTTTGAGCTTTGTAAAAATAACAGCATTGCACACATATTCTTCTGCAATTTGCTTTTTTTGATCAGTGTTATATTGGAGATTTATCCAATTCTTCCACGTTCATATAAATAACTGTAGTTCACTTCCTGTCTTTGCATATTATCCCATTACATGGATACATTTTATATATATTTCTAGATATTACCTATTATATATAATTAATTCTTCTACAGACGTCCCTATGTTTCTTTTAGATTTACATAAATAATTACTGTTCTACCTCTTCATTTCTAGATATATTTTTCTTGACTTAATGCAATGTTTGAGGTGTCTAGTTCCACACTGAACATAAATGGTGATAATGTACATCTTTGTCTTGTTTTTGATCTAAAAGGAAGAGCTCTGGGGAGCCTGAGTGGCTCAGTCAGCTGGGCATCTGCCTTTGGCTTGGGTCATGGTCCTGAGGTCCTGGGATCAAGCCCTGCATCAGTCTCCTTGCCCAGTAGGGAGCCTGCTCTCCCTCTTTCTCTGCTCCTCCCACTGCTTGTGCTCTCTGTCAAATAAATAAGATCTTTTTAAAAATTAAAAAAAGTATGCCTGGATGGCTCAGTGGGTTAAGCCTCTGCCTTCAGTTCAGGTCATGATCTCAGGCTCCTAGAATTGAGTCCCACATCGGGCTCTCTGCTCAGCAAGGAGTCTGCTCTCCCTCTCTCTACCTGCCTCTCTACCTAGTTGTGATCTTCCTCTCTGTCAAATAAAAAAATAAAATCTAAAGAAAAAACACAAATAAAAATAAAAATTAAATAAAGGAAGAGCTTCTCATGTTCCACTCTTATGTATCCATATACAAATAAAATTTCCATATGAAAATGGAAATTTTCATATTCAACACCAAATATCATGTTAAGCCAACTTGTTTAACCAACATGCTTAAACTCATGTTAATTCTAAAAAAAGCCATGTCGTTTTAAATGGCATTTAAGGGACAAGAACATTTGAATCACATTTTTTTTTCTAATGGTAGCATACAAGGTATGCTGAATAGAATCAGAAAATCAAAATACATTCGAATTATTATTGGAACTCTGAAATTTTGCCTACCAATTCTGTTCAATTTTGGTTTAACCTGTGCATGGAGAGAGTACATTTTTGGATGTAACACAGCTACAGATTTTATCAAAGATATTTTTCATTGCTCTGTTGTGAATTCGTGGATGTTTTATAGTTCATTGCTGGGGGAAGGGAGCATCAAGTCTCAGGCAACTGGAATATACATATATACATAGAACAAACTCAGCTTCTACCTGAATCTTTTAGATATCACTGCAAGCGTGGTGCCCAAGTTGTAGAAAAATCAGTTTGTGTACATTTAATGGGGGAAAATAAGCATTTCAGAGTTTTCCTCTTTGTGTGGATGTGTTTTATGGGAGAATAAAAACAGTTTTGTGGGGGCGCCTGGGTGGCTCAGCAGGTTAAAACCTCTGTCTTCGGCTCAGGTCATGATCTCAGGGTCCTGGGATTGAGCCCCGCATCCAGCTCTCTGCCCAGCAGGGAGCCTGCTTCCCTTCCTCTCTCTCTGCCTGCCTCTCTGCCTGCTTGTGATCTCTGTCAAATAAATAAATAAAATCTTAAAAAAAAAAAAAAAGTTTTGTGCCTCAATAAATGTCTTGAACTGGGGAAATCCACTGGTAACTCTAGCCTTCTGTTTCATGTTTTACAACGTGTTCCAAGGAAAAGCCAGTTCAATTGAAATAAGGAAACCATCTTCTCCAGGGTTTTTCTTTGTTAAGTTTTAAAATACATATGAAAACAAGTTTACATCTGTATACCTAAAGCAAAGCATACAGATTCAGAAAATTCCAGTTCCACAACTTACCTGCCTGCTAACTTAAAGGCACTCTTGTTACTTTTCTCTCCTCTTCCTCCCGCAGGACTCAAGTGTGTTAATCTCCTGCTTCTTAGGACCTAACTTACTGATTCTAATACGTGCATAATAGAATTAATAGAATATACTAATATACCATCTATTAATTATCATATAATTCATGTAATTAAAAATCATAGCAGCTAAGTTGTAGGACATGAAAACCAGCCTTAGAAAAATCTATGGGTAGTTAAAAAAAAAATCCTGACTGTATCAAAAACATCTAACATATTCTTACTACTTTTTTCCCAGAATCCCCAGGGTCCTCTGAAATACTGCCAAGGGAACTGGTTCCTGTGGTGCATTTCCTCACTATTTCCATTTACCCATCTTACAAAACTCATAAAGCAGCACACTAATGCACCTGTCTGCAACTGAAACCAGTCACAAATAGCAGCTTCCTTTAGGAAGTACTTGAAATTTACCATAATGGTGTAATCACAAAAGTCTGTCAGAAATTCATCTTAAACGGATAAATGTATCATTCCATGATAGCAAAGGATTAGCAGTGTAATAAAGAAAAAATAAATCCAGATTGTTGGGACAAAAAAAAAATTCCCCTGTGACCTACTGAATCATTTATAACCATGAGGATTTTCAATTTCCCCTGATCCTTTAGTAAATGTTAAGAAATAAAACAGCAAATGATAAAGCTTCAACACCTTACACATAAACCACACAATGTCAAGGTTCCTTAGCCTCTAACATTGGAAAATTCAAAATACAGTTTTAAGTGTAACTGTGGTCAGTCGTGTCATTTCTTGATGTCTATAAGATGCTGGCACCTGACATTTCTCTCTGTTTCAGGCTTTCTGCTATCAGTCAAAAGAAAAGGTATGAGACAAGCACAAAGAATGCTGTCTTCAGTTTACTGTGACAAGTCGTTGGTGTAAACATTGACACATTCGTGATTCAAAATCAGTCCAGAGAGGATTATTGAAAATGTGATCCAGTAAGATTTATAATCTTTCACCTATCCTGTCTACTGCAGCACTGTACATCTCTCTTTCCTATTTTAGTAGGAGCCATAGAGTCCTAGAGTCATTCATATCTGTTAAGTTAGAAGAAAGAAGTTTACTTACATTTTCAAAAACTTTTCAACACTTTTATTTATTTACCTTTTAAGTTATCTCCACACCCAACATTGGGCTTGAACTCAGGACACTGAGATCAGGAGTCACATGCTCTACCAACAGAGCCAGCCAGATGTCCCTAAACTTACATTTCAAAGTAACAATTATACAGATGAAACTGCTATATAAACCCCCTTCCACTGGCATTTCCTTTCCTATTGCTTCCTGGGCTTAGTACATCCAAATTCCTCTTAAGCATGTCTTATGGTGAAGCAAAGTAGGTTCTAGTCATTAGTCATAGGGCAAGGACATTTAAACACAAAAATAACTGTGACTTCACTGTTGCAAGAAATGAAAGGAATTTGTTGGAGTATTAGAGTATTCATCTATACAAGTCTCCATTTTCCAATTCACTTAATTTATTATTTCATTTTTAAATAAAAGTTAAAAGATTTAGAATACTGATAACTGAAAAATAATACAAGTGGATAAATTATGATAAATTATGGGTCCAGCCCCTACTTATCCCTTCCCTTATAATTTAAGGCTTCTAATAGTTTCTCAGTATAAACTCAATATTTCTTTATGAAGACACAATAAAACATCAGTGTATTTATACCTTTTTGTCATCAGAGTGCTAAGCAACTTGGCTAGGGACACTGAGACTGATAAGTTTCCTAGTGGGATTCGCACTTGGGCTACCTGATTTCAAAGCCCGGGTGTTTCAAGATAGTAATGTTCCTGCTCCTAATCACTAGAGGGAATTTTTTTGGATTTTGGTTTTTCTTTTACTGCTGAGGAATTTTAAAGCGACCTTAGTCTTTTTCTTGTTGAATTATAGAAATTATGGAAATATTCCCATTTATGCAGACATATCAGCAACATCTAGGGCTGTGGTTATTAAATTACAGAACACAAGCTATTCTCTGGCCTTCAGAGTTACAGTTTTTCTTCCTATGGCATCATTTTCGGGAGATCCATTGTCAAATATTTCTCTCTCAAGACCGTGTGCATCTCTGGGGGTGACTAATGCACCCCAGGCCCCCTGCCCCACTGTGTATGCCCTCGTGCTGCAGGGGCTTACCGTTCCTTTGCTGATGATAAAGAAGGTGTCCCCTCTCGCACCTTGTCTGATGATATACTCCCCGTTCTCATAGTGGGTCTAAAAAACAGAAACAGCAACAGAAAAAAAAAAAATTAAGAAGGGAATAATATAACAAAAGCTCCATCCATCTCTTCAAAGTATCAGCCCTGCAGGAACTCATTCATCCCAGTGGAATTTTACCCAATGCCAAGAATCCATTATGATTTAAGAATGAGTAAGAGTCAATGAATGAAGTAATTACAGAGAAATCATTTTTATCACGCTCATGTTTAAAACTATTTTGTTAGTGCTATTTTTTTCTGGATGATTATATTCAGCTCTTTACATTCATTCATTTTAATAGTTGGATAAAAATATTCCTTTCTGGGGAGCCTGGGTGGCTCAGTGGGTTAAGCCCCTGTCTTTCGCTCAGGTCCTGATCTCAGGGTCCTGGGATCAAGTCCCGCATTGGGCTCTCTGCTTGGCGGGGAGCCTGCTTCTCCCTCTATCTCTGCCTGCTGCTCTGCCTACTTGTGATCTCTCTCTCTCTCTCTCTCTCTCTCTCTCTCTCTCGTTCTCTGTCAAATAAATAAATAAATTAATAAAAATATTCTTTTCTTCCATCAACTGAACATGAACTAAAACAGCGGAGCTGATAAATAAACTGGTCTATCTGTACTATTTTATTAGTCCTTTTCATTTTTAGTATTCTTGTAATGATTGATAAGATTTTTTTTTTCTTGAGAAATTACTATGGCATCTCCAGATTTTATTCTGAAACAAGGATGATTTTTGGTGTGGGTTAGATAGCCCTAGCTACTTTTTAAGGAACAGCTTCATGCTTTAACATTATTATTTCGGTAATTTAGATTTGGCCCTGTCGGATGGAATGTCTTCACTTTATGGACGGAACTCTGGTCCAGCAGCTGTGAGCTCATCAACTAGCAAACGAGGAGGAAGGTAAGGCGGCAAAAGGATGATCACAGTCGGTGCTGGGATGTGGTCACAGTCACTGGATCCATTCCCAGAGTGAAGATTACTTCTGTAATGAACAAAAGTAATTTCTCTAAGGCGACGTGGGAAAAAACGTATATTGCTGGGTCAGGAGATGTAACAGAAAAATGAGACTGTGCAATCTGGCCACATTCTTCTCTGCAGCTTAGCAAGGGAGCCATTTTGGGGGAAAGAAAACATTACTTTACACACTCCTTAGGAAACAGATTTCATGGTTTGCATGCAGTAGCCACGAGGACAACAGCTGTGATTTGTCCTTTTATTTCAATACCATGTCTTATTTACTGTTAACACCACCTTTTTTTAGTACTTGACATTGAGAACAACCATATCTTCCTTGGCTTATCTAGAAAATTAACATACTACCTAATCTTACCTTTTTTTCTTAAATTCATAACAAGTTTTAAAAATAGAATTATAGAATGCATATTTTTCAACTGATCTATTTAACAAGATACCCATGCTCCTCTGTCACTTCTTGCTATTTGGGAAAGGAAAGATCTTTAGGACATGCAGGTGTGAAAAGCAATAACCACAGAGTTTTCTTTCCTCTATCAATTCCACAAACATCTCTGTGTGCCTCTGAGTCAGGCCTGGTTATAGGCACTGATGATACAAAGATGAGATACAAAAATCTCAGAGCAGTGCCATCCACTGGATCTTTCTCTCTGAGGGTGCAAATGGTCGATAGTCACATGGTCCAGTACAGCACTTTCTAGCCACAAGTGTCTTCTGAGCAGTAAAATGTGGCCAGTGTGATTAAGAAACTGAACATTTAAGGTCAGTAGCTCACACATGGCCAAAGGCTACTGTATTAGCATAGGTAGTAGCTAAAGCAGACAAGGGAGGATTTATAATCTGTACTAGTAGGGTAGGGGGCAGGCTGGAGCATCTTTCCCCACTTGCCATGAATGGTGCTCCATTAATAAAATCCAGGACCTCTCTCTTCCCTTCCCCACTCTACACCAGAGAACATTTACAGGTCCTCAGCTAGATACGGTCACCTCAGCCCCTAGTCTCTTGTCAAGTGGGGGTGAGTTCCCCACAGAGGCTGACATTCTCTGTGGCTTCTCCAGGGAAAGCAGAATGAAGCTGCCTCTGCTGGGCCTCTGCCCCAGGGCAAGGAAATCCACTCAAATACACCCAGCTCAGTAAGGTTGTTCTGATACCTAAGCCACATTCCTGTGTCTAGATTTTTATCATTAGTAACAATAGTATTCTATTAGTTCCATTTACCTCAGTCTTTGTCATATTTCTCACTTGTTTCCTCATCCAAAACCTCTCAAAACTTCCCAGACAATCCAGTGTGCAAATGCTATATTTTATGTCAGTAGGGCTTCTGTGCTGTCTGTTATACTGTCTCACTCTGTTCCCAGGGCTTCCCCATGGAGGAGATTCTTCAGCCCCAACAGAATTATGATGGGGGCACCTGGGTGGCTCAGTGGGTTAAGCCTCTGCCTTTGGCTCAGGTCGTGATTTCAGGGTGCTGGGATCGAGCCCTGCATTGGGCTCTCTGCTCAGCGGGGAGCCTGCTCCCCCCACCTTCTCTGCCCTTCTCTCTGCCTACTTGTGTTCTCTATCTGTCGAAGAAAGAAAAGAAAGGAAGGAAGAAAGACGAGTTGCAGCTTACTGAGCGGCAGAAAGCCTCTCTGAAAAGAAGAGAATTAGTAGCTTATTATGCCCACATAATAGTAGCAGAAATACTATTATTTTGGAAAAAGTAGAAAAATGCAAATAAAAAACACCAAACTTGGAAGAATCCTTAACTAGTCTGAGGCATTCTTCTTACTTTCTCCTCCTTAAAAACATATTCCCACCCATATGATTGTCATTTCCTTTCAGAAAGCCAAAATTATCAGTACCATATTAAAAAGTATGAAGGCAAGGGTTTCTCAGGCACACCACCACTGACATTTGGACGCAGACAATTCTCTGTTTCTGGGAGCCATCCTGGACATTCAGTTCGAGCTGTAGGATGTTTAGTGGCTTCTGTGGCCTCTACCCACTAGATGCCAATCGCAGTTGTGGCAACCAAAAATGTCACAAGACATTGTCAATTACCTTGCTGGGGGCAAAACTACTCCCCATTGCGAATGTTTGCACTAAATCTCTTGTGGTTTTCTGGATCTGAAATAGCAATTTATTATTTTTCTTGATACTCTGTGCTAGATGACTCTTTGACTTCCCTCGGTGTCAGCTTGGATCAGTCTAATGCCTCACTTTTGGGGTGAGCATTTGGTGTTAGTCTCACACCCATGACTGTCAGTTCTATTCTCCTCCACACGGGCCTCCCTCTATTGGGTTGCCCAGTCTCCTTCATCGCAGGGTGGTCTGGGGGAGAGTCACCTTCTTATATGGCAGCTGGCTTCCAAGGATGCCAAAGCAGAAGGTGCCAGGCTTTCCCAAGGCTCAGACTTGTGCATCTAATGAGTTCAAGCAGGTCCCAGGGCCAGTCCTGATGCAAGAGGAGGGGACTGCACAAAGGAGTGAACCCAAGAAGATGGTATGCATCAGGGCTATGAAAACACAGTCTCCCACAGACTTTAAGCTTCATATGTATGAAACTGAGCTCTTGACCTCCTTCTTCTAGCCCTGCCTCTCCCATGCCTTCCCTGTGTCAGTGACACCAACTGCATCCTTCCTGTACTTGGCCAGTCATCTTGGAGTCATACTGAACTCCTCTGTCTCCCAGGCCCACCACTGTCAGCAGCCCCACTAGTCCACCTTCAGGATACATCCAGAACTCAGTGACTCCTCCATCTGCTGCCACGGATGCCATGTTCTCCTGCCCAGTCCATGCAGTCCCCTCCTGACTGGGATATCTGTCCTACCTGACCCTGTAGGTCCCCCTTCCCACCTAGCAGGCAGGCAATTCTTAAACACCCAGTCAGCACCTGCTGCTCCTGCGCTCACACCCTTGCAGGGGACCCTCTGTGCCCATGGGCACTGAAGCCCCACAGAGGTTGCAAGGTACTAATGGCTTCTGCTTTGTCACTTCATGGACCTTGCCACCCACCTCCCTCCCTTGCATTATGTCTGTTCTCGTCACACCCCTTTTCCTGATGTTCCCTGAATACCCAGACCCATCTCAGAACCCCTGCACAGGCTCTTCCCAGTGCTGAGATGTCCCTGCACCCCCGAGAACTCAGAAGGAGCTATCTCAGGACAGGAAGGTTTGCAGAGGGCTGAATGACAGGAGTGTGGGTATCAAGGAAGGCTGAAGGTTAAGGAATCTGAGAGGAGGATTAACAGACCCTGCTGAGAGCTGGGGCAGTGGCTATTGAGAAGGAAGGCTCCCCTGCCAAGCCCAGCCTAGTTCAGAGGGAGCCTGACCTCTCTCTTCTCTACCCTCTGGTATCCAACTGGGGCTCCCCATTGGCTGAGGTCAGCTGAAAATGGACAGGGGATCCCTCCCATTCAGGCCAGCCTCTGGACAGAGAGGAGGGTCCAGGGAAAGGGAAAAGCAAGCCTGGGAGCAGGTGGAATGCATCAGCCCCATGTGCGTTAGCCTCATCCATCTCCTCCTCCGGAGCATCAGTTCCATGAAGGAACTTTTACATTCCCTGCTGTTCCCTTGGACTGAGAAGAGCACCTGGGTGTTCTCTAAACACTCCTCAAGTCAATGGCTTACATGGGAAGGACACTGAGTGCCCGCACAGAGCAAGGGCTCTCACCCTTCTTCCACTGGTTTGCCCTCACAAGATGGGTCTGCTGCTCCAGGCCTCGCAGAGGGGAGCAGGCAGAGAAGGGCAGCCTCTCATCCAGAACCCCTGCCAACTGTCCCCATAGGTCTCCTTTGAGTTGCACTTCCATTCTTAAATGAATGCTTGGCAAGACAAACCTGAATACTCCAAATGGTTTTTGCTTCTCCGATCACTCCATGATGCCTTCAAGGAAACCACTCAGATGAAAGCAAACCTCTCGCAGTGGGAAAATGGGAAGGAAAGCCTGCAGAGGCACCCAACAGGGTATCTACCTCATGGACCAACCCAAGAAGTCTCTGAAGGGTCAGAGCAGGGCTGGCTGTGGAAGAAGGGCGGATAAAAGTGGGGGACAAGACCATG